CAGAAGAATCCTCCAAGAAACAATCATCATTTCTCCAATGTTATGGCATTAGGATGACAGGAATGGTTCACAAATGAGTCATGTGAGCTCAGAAACGCAGTAGCTATTTGAAAGCTGAGCAATCAATTATTCATTTGTTTACTGAGTGCTTTCTCAGCTGACATTAACCAGAACTTCTTAAAAAATAAGAACTTTACAGCTGTCCTTGCCTGTCCCACGAGGCTGTGCTCAGAGGTTGAAAATTGCTTAATTTCTTTGTAAGTAATCTGGTATTTTTATTGAAATAAACAACAACATATGGGTTAATTAACTGGGTTCAACCTGAGACCCCGCAGGCGTCAAAATATCAGAGACCCAGGGCTGGGTGGATGATAAGATAGAAGACCAGGGCAGGGAAGAGGACCTTCAAGCAACCAAAATTGAGCTCTTGCTGCAAATGCAGTACATGAAATCCCACGTAAGCTTTCCTGTGCATGGCATATTGAGGATACATATACATATCTTTGTGGTAATAATGCATGCAATTAATCTGCTCTGATTGAATTACATTTTTCTCATTTCTAGTGATTGTTTACCCTAGACCCTAACAAAGCTGTTAGACTGAAAAAATTTTGACAACAAATGGTTATGATTTAAAGAGGTTTAAATATCACACCTTCAACTTTAATCTATGTTCTTTTTGCCTTTTTTGGTATGAAAGACCTATCCAAGCCAGGGAAAACTGCCACTCAAAAGGAACTGAGAAAATTTGGACATAAACACAGTGCAATGAAATTCAAAGCAAGCTCATAAACAGAGCTAGCCTGAGGGGAACTAAAAAGTTGCTTGGGTTTGTCAATTTGTTTTTTTTTTTTTTTTACAGTTTCCCCTACACACTAAAACCAATGAGAAACACTAAAGCTTAGGATAAATGCAGACTGCATTTCTGCAGACAGCAGAAAAATGTTTATACATGGGACTCCACCAAATTACATCTTAACTCTGTGAATATTTTAGATTAAGCCAAAAATATAAACACTTGAAATAGTAATATATTTCATGCTGATATTCCCATTGTGTTCAGGCTGAAGTCTCAAGATGCTTGCTATCTGTGATACCAAAAAAAAGGAACTATGGAATTGGAGATTTTGGTTTTTTCAAAATTGCCAGTAAATAAAAAAATTCCTCCTTTGACCTCTTGGTATTTACATTGATCAGTCAGCCTCAGTTTAATTCAGTGTTCTTTCCCAGAGTAAACGCAAAACATGTATGCATATTTTAGGAGACATATCACCCTTTAACATTGGCCTGCATCTACTTTTAGAATCAAGGGCAGTAAAAATTAGAGTTGCAACAGTGTAACTTATGGCTGGACTTGATGATCTTAAATAAATTTTCCAAGCTAAATGATCATATGATTCTTTAAAAATCTGTAATATTTCTGGGGTTTGTAGAAATAATTCAGATTTTGGTAAGAAGAGAGTACATCAGGATTTAAGAGGTGGTGTGGCACTGCTGTAAGATCCACTTGCAGAAGAAAGAAGGGTCTCTCTTTTCATATGTTTTTTTAGCATTTCTAGAGATTTTACCTACCCATCCCATGCATTTTTCTTGAACCCACTGTCCCTCCTCCATCGTTTATAGAAACAACTGAGTAAAACTGGCACTTACAGGAAGAACAGCTGGGATTACTGGAGTGCCTCACCAACCAGAGAAAGCTTGGAGGAGACCCAAGAGTGCTGTTTTTACTTCTGCCCTGATCATGCCTAATGATGCTGATACTTCAGATAGATAATTACTAAGCACAGTTCCATCTTCCTACTTTATGAGGAAAGCAAGTATCAGTCCACCCATGTCAGAGATAAAATACAGGAGGCTCAGAAGGGTTGCACAGGGTCATGTTAGGCAGAGCTAGGAAGAGAATCCCTGTCTAAACAAAAGTCTTATCCATTTCCCCCCACCACTCTCCTCTAAATGACTATGCCAGTCCTGTGATCTATAGGTACCTGCACATAAAATACTTCCTGTCTACTTTCACTAACAGATAAATGAAGAAATAACCATTACCAAAACAAAGAGCAAATGAGAGAATTGGCTTTTCTATAGACACTGCAAAGAGGAAATTCAGGAGAATTTAGGGAAATCCTAATTTCCATCATGCACCTACAGCAAGGAAAGAGATAGATAAAATGTGCACTACCACTCTTCCAATACAATTATCTCTATTATAACAGACTTTTCAAGATACTTAACTATCAAATACAAAAACCTGCATAGACGGAATCTGGTAATTGTTGCCTTCAATAGACATACCTTTAATCATCTTTTCTTTTAAGTGTGTTACTCTTGTCTCAGAATTGTTTTGCTTTGTCTGGGGGTTTTTTGTGGCTGCACACACACCATTAAAAAAAATAAATCTCATTTAAACAAACTTCTCAGCATTTCGGCCGGTTTGAGCTCCTATACATTAAATACATTGTAAATACAAACACTTCGTGGAAACACTATTCATTTGCACAAGGTCTGAGCTGCTTATTCAGATCAAAGAATGAAGCTGTCATTACAGCTTTAGAAAGTCTAAAAAGTATAAAAAGTGAGACTATGAAAAATGAGAATTTGAATATCTGTGTTACAGTCCTATTTTCAAATAGCATACCATTTTATGAAGTTATTTGGAAAACTGATCCCATATATTAATTAATTTTCAATGGTAAAAATGACAGGATAATATTATTTCTATACAATTCTAATAGGTTAAGAAAGCAAATAATGAGTGTTATTAGGAAAGAGAGCCAGGGCAAGGAACCACCTCATGAACACTGCTGAGTAAAGGCAAAGTAAACTCACAAGGACAGGTTAGCAAAGGGAGAGCAGACAGGTGGTGAGGAAAGCAAATGAATAAAGACTATCCCAATACAGATAATGGTGCTCATGTCTAAGTCACTTTCAACAGCTGTTTTACAGCATTCCTTCTGCTTGATAAAAGTTTTTCAGGTCAATGTCCAAGCTATAATTGCGCAGAGAAGAAAGCAAAATCATCCCCTCCCTCTCATCTAATCTAAGTGCGTTCTAGTTACATTGGTCTATTAGAGAAAGTACAGTAAACAAGAACTGCATTCCCTGTCACATTCCTTCTGTTTCCTTACTCCGCCAACCAGATAAAACATATGGTCTAAAATATAATTCATAATAATTTCAGGACTGTTGTTCTATTAGATGGAGTAAGCATATGTTGTAAAGAAAACCTGAAGATCAAACATCAGTATATCACTTGGCGGCATGAGAAGAAAGAATAAATAAAGTTGGCCAGTCACAGGATCTGTATATGAGTAATATTTTTCCAGAGGTCAACATGATGCAAACCACAACTCAGAAGGGATATGGGAATGAGACAGAGAGAAAGAATCTTTCTTAAGATCCCAACCAAAAGAGTTGTATTTTTCAGTATTACCAAACCACCTAAACAGCAAGGGGAGGAAAGTTCCCTGAAACATTCAGCCAGGGGTGATCTGAGCTCCAGTAACAGCAACAGAGCCCTGACAGGTGAGCAACAGAAACTCTATTCGAATGTGGGTTTAAAGAATGTTTATATTTATCTATGATTTAAGATCCTAACTTTTGTATTTATTTAAAAAGCAGCAGCATTATCAAACAGCTGACAGTAAGAGTAAAATACAGCTTTACTTCTTGAACATCTGGAAAAGGATAGGAGTAGGAGAACAGTTTGCTGACAACTGTAGAGCTAGCACAGATTTAGGACACCATGTTGCCAAATGCAAAGCTCCTTCAGGCATGAGTGAAGGATCCCCAGCTGGATCTGTCCTTCGGGATTCAACGGATGTCAGTCTTTCAAATTAATGATTCCCTTTCCTGGAAACCAACAGTTTGTTGCAACTATTGGAGCTTAAAGTTCATGTGCAGTCCTAAGACAGACTAGAGGTCATGCTGAATTCTTTTATCTGGAAGAAACATATGAGTTTTGTAAGATGATCAAAAATAGAGGGTTTGGTTTAGTTGCATTGAGCCCCTTTATAGACAGAGTTCTCATTTAGTCTTACAGACATCTTAGTGAGTATGTACATGGCAGCAGACCACATCAGGACTTCTTGGATGCAGACTTCAGCGGGAACACGTCTCACAGCAGAAGTGCTGTTTCCAGTGCTGCATTTCTGTATATAAATAACATGGTAACACAAACAGGGATGCTCTTGTGTGGTGAATTTATCAGGCTCGTCAGCTCAGACAAAAAAAAAAAAAAAAAAAAAAAAAATCAGAGCTCTGAAGGATGCAAGACAAACCCCTACAGTTCCACAAAAACATCTTGAAGAAAGGGAAAGACAAAGATCATCTGTAGCACACTGGGATCTCAAGTCAAATCCTACTCACTCAGGTGAAATGATTTTTCAGTTTCAGCTCTAGGTCTTGGAGATGTTGGATATATGCATTTTTAGGGCTTACAAACCCTTAACTTTCACAGTTTAAAGGAGATAAGTAAAAAAAGGCCAGTGATTAAGGCTATGTGTATTCAAACAAGAGCTACTGAAATGTGGAACATGTCAGTAATCAAAAGAAGGACCAAATAAGTCACCCTAAAAGCAATTTTCAGTGAAAACTGAAGGTTAAAATACACCATATTGCACTGTGAGCTCTGACAAGTACAAATATTAATTGAAGAGAAGCCACACAGGTTTGTTGTGCTCACTGGATATGTGAGGCCAATTCAGCTTGTCAATGTGCCCACAGATTGCATACAATCTAGATTTTGTTTACTTTGTTCGTTTTGTTTTTCTCAGAAGGTGCAGGGAGAGTTCAAGAACAATCTAAATTTCTTTAGCCTGCTATTTTTTATATCCAAAGTTATCTATTGCACAACAGGCAGGAATTAGCATTTGTTGTTAATGATTTAAAATGCCAGATCTTATTATGCAAGTGCCTGAACCCACGGGCTAAAATGTTCTGAACACTTTTCTGCACTTCTAGAAAGAATTTACAGAGTAAAGTAGGAATAAAAAAAAAAAAAAAAAAAAAAAAAAAAAAAAAAAAAAAAAAAAAAAAAAAAAAAAAAAACAACAACAACAACAACAAAACCACCAAAACAACACAACAAGGGGGTGGAAAAGACTGTGATTAACCATTCAATTTTAATCCCTGCTCTAAGGCAGGATCCACTACTCTGCTACACAAGGTTTGCCCAACTTGTCCTTAAAAATCTCCACCAGCAAAGCCTCTCCTGATGTCTGCACAGCCTTGTCCACCTTCTCAAGGAGGCCCAGGGGTGACCTCATTACTCTCTACAACTCCCTGAAAGGAGGTTGTAGCCAAGTGGGGGCTGGTCTCTTCTCCCAGGTAACAAGTGACAAGACACGAGGAAATGACCTCAAGCTGTGCCAGAAGAGGTTCAGGTTGGACATTAGGAAGGATTTCTTCACAGAAAGGGTTGTTAAACACTGGAATGAATTATCCAGGGAAGTGGAGGAGTTACTGATCCTGGACACGTTCAAGAAACAACTGGATGTGGCACTCGATACCATTGTCTACTTAAGAAGGTCGTGTTTGGTCACAGGTTGGACTCAATCTCAGAGATTTTTTCTCTAACATAAATGATTTTATCATTCCCCCTTTATCACTTAGAAAGGCTTTCCTAATGCCTAAGACCTGGACAAGTCTGCTGCTCAGCTATACACAAAATGAGGGCTATCATACATTCATGTCTCTTAAATCCTATCTGTTTATGAGGGCAGATTGTTTGGGCTGCAGTAAAGTTAGGGAGACAGGATGCCCTGCAGAGAAGCCATTCTGATTTCTGTTCCCGAAGACAACATTAAATCCTGAATGAGCCTTTTGCCCTTCCCCTCATAGGAATGAAATGCAGTTTTGCCACCACTGCAGCTGTGGGTCAACACTGACTGTCTGTGGTGGTAACACATGGTTATCACATGTCTCCCTTCAGGAAGGGAGACAACTGCAGTCTGTACTGCAAGGGAAGAGAAGCTAAAGGCTCTGTACCCAAAAAGCCAAGGACAAGACAAATAATCACACCTGTAAGCACCAACCCAAGCTCCTCACAGCACGGTGGAGCAGCAAGCAGAGATAGCCCTCAAGCAGAATTCATGTGTTACCTCCATTATGGATTCAACCTGGCAAAGCCCTGTAAGCTGGCTCAAAGTTCCTTGGCCTGCACCACCACAGGCTTCCAGACCCAGCTAATGTGCAGTCTGCCTGCTGGCACACTAAAGGCTCCTGGATGCTGTCAGCTCACTGCACATGCCCTGCAGAGCACACACAGTCTCCTGCCTGTCTCTGAGAAACTCCTGGCAGCCCTCCAGGAGCCACCACTTTCTGACTGCAAAATGCTGGCAGGGTCTGACTGTCATCATTAAAGCATTTTACCTCTCATGTTTCACTCTGCTGTTCTCCAAGAAAGAGAGGATGATTATCCATTCCCCTTGGGGTTTGTAAGGAACCAGGTGAATTAACACACCTGAGGTGCTGCAAGCCCTTCACTAGGTGACCAAAGAAGTGTTTTACAAGTAACTCCTAATTCAGTGACTCCTATTTCAATGACTCCTATTTTACAAGTGGCTCTAATTCAGAAGTGGTTTCCTGCTCCTCCTGTTGGCTGCAGAACAATATTCAATCATGTTTTCACAAGCTTGTGAAAGAGGGTTTGGAGATTCTCGGTACCCTCCACCACCCATGGGTGCCACCTCCTTTGCACAGAGTGGGTGCAGCACTGTTGAGCAGCAATGTGAAGCAGGTTCCTTGGGCTGAATCATAGCAGTCCAATGCCCAGAGGAGAGATTTCCCCAGTGCTCTTCCAAAATGTAGTGGAAATGCACCTGGTTTTTTTGTAATACATGAAGAGTGCTTTCTTCCATTTGTTCTGATCCATCAAAAGGACATTAAAAGAATGTTGTTAAAAATACCCAATTTTGGCCAAAACGAAAGGGAAAATGGGGGAGTGAGAGACAGCAGTGTGTGATTTGGGGATGAGGGCACCAAATTGAGGAGTACCATTTCTAAACCACGATACCACCTCAAAAGTTTCACAGAGATTTCTTTTCCAGTTGATTTTTTTCCAACTTGTTTAGTCCCTGTTGCAGAATTTGCCAGAGCATCTTAAAGCAGAGAAGAGCAGCTTGAAAGATTCTGTTTAGCACAGTTATTCCTTCTCAGTGACTGACAGCATACACAGCATTTTCAAGAGGCTGATCTATGTCAAACCTTCATGTCACCCTTGTGTCCCTGCCTGGCATGAGCTTATTCCATGCAATTTGTGTAAGACTCTGTCTTAGATTGCCAAGCAATATGTATTCTATTTACCATCTGTTAGAGGTATAGCAGTTGTCTTCTGTTAAGTGGGCAGTTTTCCTTATCTCTTCCACAACCAATCCTCCCTCTGAGGAGACATCTGCTGTTAATAAGCCATTGAATGTCACTGCATGAGTGATAAGAATTACAGCATCCCATTGTGAGATGTTCCGCCCAGATAGAAGAGCCAAACATTCCCAACTAGATATAATCTGAGATCTTAAAACACCAAAACAACATTTCCACTAGACTCCCAGAAAAACAACTACTTCTTACACTAAATCTTCAAAGAAAGACTACACTCTTTTCTACAAAATCACTACTCCAACAAAACCACACCTGCTACTCCAGGAAAACTGCAGCCACAATTCCAATTAAACTACTACCAACACCCTGACCCACAAAGTGTCAAGTTGTATACTGACTCTGTCAGGGTTGTTTTAATTTACTGCTTGTTTTTTGCCTTTTTTTTTTTTTTTTCATTTTCTTCCCTAATAAAAGAACTGTTATTCCTGCTCCCATATCTTTTTTCAGTTTCCAGTTCAAGAAAGGCTCCTACACTCCTTAACAGACACTGTCTTTCCAAACCAAGACAGGCTCTCTGCTATTCAGCTGTACCACTGGCAGGGACTGGTTCCAGTCACATATGCAAATGAAACAAACAAACAAAAAAAATTATGCACAAAATTTCACTTGGTACAGGTCTGAAGAGAGACATTTGGTCAGTTATTTATTTCTTGGCACTGATGAGTGCCAAGACTTTTAATTTCCTTATGGGGTGAAGACTGAAAGCAGAAATTCTGACACCAATGGGATTAGACATAAATAAATCCACTCTAACCAAATCAGCCTGGCATGTCCTATATCCCAAATTGATTTTGCATCTTTGTTTCTTTCTTATATCACCTTCAAGAGGTAGATATTTGGCATGCAGGTGATGCATTAATCAAAAGCTACTGTGACAGTACAGGCACAACCATCTGGAAAAGCCCACATGTCCCAGCACCGTGCAAAAGACAGCAACACATTTACTGGAGTTTCAAAACCAAAATAAGTAACATTATTTTCCAGAGAAGACCAGCAGCCAGCCCTCAACAGAAGGGTCACAGCAAAAGCTAAAGCAGGTTGCAGCTGGTCACTGGCACACACAAGGCTGCTCTCCAGTTCTACTGGGTACCTCTGGGGATGCCACCTGGCACCATCTAGCATGTGGAGGCCTCTTTTACCAGGCTGTAGAGATGTGTACACATTGGAGCAGGGGGAGGCTGCTGAGTCAGCTTGGGCACAGTATCCTCCCAAATGCCACTGGGACACCTCAAAGGCGCATAGCTCTTTGACACAGTACAGCTCACCAGGCACCAGGGGTTGGCATTTTCAAGAGGGGACTCCATTTATGACCATATATTCTCCAGAAACCTGCCTGACATATGGGGGTAAAACAGAACCCCAGAAGGAAGAGTGAGGTTTCTATGGTCCCAACAGAACCTACCCTTATCTAATAGAAACCCATTTTTCACTGAGCTTTAGCAAACAAAAAACCCAAACTGTTTTCTATTTTAATGAATTATGACAGTTGTTCTTCTCCCTTTCCTTTCCTTGACCTCACCACACATTAAGGTGAGCAGAGAGTCCCAATGCAACCCTAACACTCCCTTCCCATCTGCCTGCACTATACCCTGAATGGCTACATGGGCAAATAGACTAAGAGCCACTGTAGGTCTAGGAAAGATTTTCAACCTTCAGAAAAGGGGACTGAGCACTCAAAGGCACTAAGAGATTCACCGAGATGCACAAAGGCACTAAGAGATGTATGACAGTGAGGGACTTGAAGTGCAGCAGGAAGCACTGAGGCTGGACATTTAGAAGAAACTTTCTTTAAGTGGTGCCTTACACCAGGTCATTTACCAGTCACTAAACACAGATGAAGAAAGGAGAAAGAAAACTAAGCCAAGAAAAATAAAGGAAAGAAAAAAGACAAAAAAAAAAATCCAAAAAAACCAAAACAAAACAAAACAAAAAAAAAAAAAAAAAAAAAAAAAACCAAATAAAAAAACCAAACAAAAAAAAACCCAACAACAAATCAATCAACTTTTAAAGCTTCAAAAGCTAATTATCACAACTTCATCTAGGGCTGGGACACACCTTCCTGCTTTATTTCATTGATTCCAAGAGACTTTTAGTCCAGAGGATATATCAAAAGTAATGCCTCCATTTTTTTAGTGGAAACCTGCCAGGAAAGAAAACAGAAAAATCCATGCATGCATCTATAATAGGTTGTGGTGAGCATGAAATAAGAATAGCAAGTCAGGGAACCTTCATATTTTGCAGGAATGGAGCTTCCATTCCCTTCCACAAGCTAAACATGCTATCCCAAAAAGATTTTCTCATGGGAAAAAGTAAGCAATCAGGAATGGAAACAAACTGGTTGGAACTGATTATGTTGCTAACTCTGAGATGACTTCAGACAATGACTTCGTTTGGGGCAACCTTGGGGAATGTGACAAAACAAAGTATTTGAGTACAAATGCAAAGCACACCATTTTGAAACCAAGGCTGACTGTCAACTATAAATATATATGCATGCATATATACACATAGACACATACACCACAAACAGTCGACTACTTTATGGGCTTAAGATGGAAAGAAAAACATCCATATTGAATCACCCAATAAAAAAGGTGAGAGAGGATAGAAGGAATTGGATTGCTTTTCAAAACCACATTTGTGTTGTATGATTTTTTTTGTGGTGAAATTCAAGATTTTGCAATTTTTGGGAGAACATGCAGACTAAACATTGACTCTCCAGAAATAAACATAAACCCTAAATAAAACCAAAAGCATTATATGAAGTCTATTTTAAATAATGGACAATAAAATTTTATTTTTTTAAAAGGATAAATGAAGTTGGTGTAAGCGTGGTTGCTTTCAGACTCACCTGCAGGCATGCATCCACCAAATTTTAAATGGTCTTTAAATCCAGCTCCAAATCAACTTTGACAATTCCACCTAGATGAACAGATAAAATACACTGACCTTTCCTTTAGTTAACAGAGGATATGTTAAATAGCATCTGTGGGAGGCCCCTTCAGAACAAGCATGCAAGACACACATACTCTATCCAAACCTACTCCATTTAAAAAGGGCAAACAATCCCAGGGAGATGGGGGAGGGCAGGAACTATCTGTGATACTGACTAATAGCTTTAAATATAGTTTATTTTCTTCAAATGTAGCTGGTATCAAATGTTTTTCTGTACATAGAAAGTTCAGTGGGGTAGGAACAGCTATTTTAGGGTAGAAGGAAGGCCAGCAGAACACAAGACAAGCATTGGTGTTCCAAGGCTCTTGTAAGGATGCTGAACATGACAAGGCTTTGTAGGAAAATGCATTTTTACTAAAGAGATGCTGGCAGAGGACTTCATAATGATTAAATGCATTAAATGAAGGACTCCCTTTTTGATTAGCAATGTGACTTCTCTACTGCTTGGAGCTGTGTTATCAGGAATCTTTTTCATAATAAGCAGCAGAAAAAAGATGGAATTTTTACTTTTAGGATTTGGAGGCTCTTTATGGGGGGAGGGAGAACTTTTGGGTTTAAGTTAAATGAAATAATATTTTAATGTATATGTGCAAATAAGGTGATAATTTTTCTTTTGAAAAGAAGACAAAAAAAAAAGCTTTAAATGCACTGACTTTCGTGGTCAAACTAAGGGTTAGGACACACTCTAAACACAGGCGCAGGAGCTAATCTCTTCCACTCTCTATGCAAGGAGACTATCTAGCCATGCCATCCATAGCTCCAGTTTCTCTACAGCTGTTAAGTGCAATACTTACTGTGAAGGTGGTGAGGCACTGGCACAGGATGCTCAGAGCTGTGGATGTCCCATCTCTGGAAGTGTTCAAGGCCAGGCTGGATGTGGCTTTGAGTAACCTGGTCTAGTGGAAGGTGTCCCTCCCCATGGAAGGGGGTTGGAACTAGATCATCTTTTAAGTTCCTTCCAACCCAAATCATTCTGTGTTTCATACAGAATTGAAAAGGGGAACAGCATACTATTATTTTATTTTTTATTTTAGCAGTTTTGCATTGTCTGCTGCACTGCCTGACTTCCCTCAGTTCCAGCTGCATGTTCACAGTAAAGAAATTAGATAGATTTTGCTCTTGGCAATCTTAAAATAACTATTTATGTCACTTACCCCTTCATGGCTGCACACCACTGATGCCAGCATTGGTGTCACTGCCTTTCAAGAGGTTCCACAAGACCAACCTGTGCCCAGCTGATATACTGAGCCAGGTTATCAGCAGTGCCACAGAACTCCCAGCAAGCTGTTTAAATTTTATCTGCTCTCTGTACCCTCCCAGGTGCTGATAAGGCCCAGCAGCTTCCTGGAGCACAGTTGCTCCCAGAATAGGTCTTCTGAGAGCGCACAGCCAACACTGCCCACTCTGCTTAAAAAAGAAGAGTCTTGCTCTGATGGAGATCCCAGCTGACCACTTGGACAGGTGTTTGGGTAGCACAGCTCAGTAGTTTCTTCAGCTAGAGAGCAGTAATACACTGGGCTGTCTGCAAGGAAGGTGCAGCTCAGACCTTCTGCTCCTTCAGACCCAGTGCCCAAGAGCTGCTCTTATTTGAATCAGCTTTTGAAGGACTCCAGTGTGGGCCTTTCCATGTCAAGTAAAATCAACCTTTTCTTAATACCACTTCCAGGGCTGAGAAGGTACTTTCAGAATTCCATGAAAAACATTGATTTATTTTCCCAGACTTTTTACAACTAAGTTTAGAGTGAAGGATCTAATTTTCTTGCTGGTTCCCTTCAAGGATTAATTACACAGTAATCTGCACCCTTAATTAGGATATTTGTGACTCACATTTCTGAGCACATGAACACGAATTGGAAGAGATTCAGTTCTGCTAAAAGTCACACAGCCCAGGATGTGGAAAACTATCACTGGACAGCTGTATTAAACAGAAATAAAGCACAACTGAGGGAAATTAAACTTCACATTACCTGTTCCTTGAGGTAACTGCAAAGACAATATTCTGCTTTACCTTAAATAAATCCAAGAAATGGAGAGTGAATATGGACCACCAAACTGCACAACTGTAAACACAGTGCAACATAGTTTTTCAGTGAGTGAAGTCTTTACATTTGAAAGAATCTAGGACATTGCTGGTACTCTTGATCTCTACCATGATATTCTTGCAGTCCAACTATCACCATGGCTTTTGATCTTTTACCAAAAATCTGAAGTTTTCAAAGGAAGCAAGAAGTTGACCCATGCTATGTGAAGAGATGAAGCAAGTATTTTCCAAGTCTAAACTTAATGTCTATTGCTTTGCTTTCTGCAGACAGAGAAGACTGCATTCTTACCCATCTGTTTTAATTTTTTTTAGTCCTGCATGTCTAAGTGTGAAATCTTGAAAAAATTGAGAGATTTAACTGCCACTTTTTACTTATACCAAAGGGATTTAGGTAGGTCTGCTAAAAATTACTGTCCATGACTTACTAAAAGTAATTGTGGCTGCTATGACTGAGGAATTGTCATCCTACATAATCTCTTGAAGACAAACCTCAATGAACAGCGAATGAAACTGTTTTTTGGGACTCAACAACAGTAAAGAGGCTATGAGGGTCAGCACATCAGTGAAGCACAATAATTGTTTCACTGTGCTTATTATCTAGTGCCTAAAGAAAGTGAGAACACTCAGCTGTTAAACAAGCAGTGATAAGCTGCCAGAGCCATTTTGTGCACTAGAGAAGATACAGTTCTCTACAATACTGCTCCTGGAGGACAGGGGAATTTCAACCAGCCTAGGTGTCTCATGCATAACAATCCAAGGACAAAGGGCAAAAATGAGAGGTTCCCACCCAAACTCTTCACTGTGATATACCACAGTCTGCTCCATGTCCTTGTTCTTCACAGGTGGAAGATAGTCTCTACCTGATGTTTAGCTCAGGCTACAACTACCTGTGGTTTGATTTTATCAGTGTCCATAAGTACCCAAAAGTGGGTATCAAGAAGAAGGATCCAGGCTCTTCTTGGTGGTGCCAAGCAACAGGACAAGAGGCAATAGGCAGCAACTGATGCACAGAAGTTCCCCCTGAATAAGAAGAATTTCTTTAGTGTGCAAGTGACCATGCACTGGAACAGACTGCCCAGTGAGGCTGTGGAGTCGCCTTCACTGAGGATATTCACGAACCATCTGGACACAATCCTGTGCCCTGTGCTCTGGAGTGACCCTGCTTGAGCAGGGAGGTTGGACCAGATGACCCACTATGGCTCCTTCCAGCCTGACTCACTGTGATTTCCAGAAGTCGATGTGATGAGCTATGGCCCACTGGGGACAGTGGCATTTCTCAGGCCAGGTTATTATTGAATAGTGGGAATTGATGCCATTCCACAACCAGGGCTCATTCTCAGTCCATCTGCACAGAAACACCTGGAGAATACGGAAGCACCCAGCACCTTGCCTTCGTTGACAGTCCTGTTTCATGCAGCTCCAGCCCTAACACACACCCTTCTATACACCTAAGCCTTGCTCACTTCCTTTCCCTATCCAACCATTCCTGTTCTCTGCTCATGATGAGTAAGCAGATTTATTACAGAGAAGGCCCAGTGTGTGAAACCTTTATTGAATTTACCAATTTCTTCAGATAAAATGCAAAGAGTTACTACTAACAGTGACATTCTAAGTTGAGATTGTTAACATTAACACAATGAAGAATATGTAAAATATAATATTTTACATAATAAAATATATTGTCTTCCAGCTGAAGGCTGATACACATGTAGGCTTTATGCCTGCATCACTTTTTAGAAACTTCTGCCCCAAAACAGACTTTGCATGTGTAGCTCTCAGCCCTGCAGCTACCTAGCACAGGGAATTCTTATGGATCTTCAAAGACAAAAAGGCAATTTAAGGTGCTAGGACAGACCAGAAATGAACACCCTGTGGCAGCCCTTTTTGAAACTTTTGCCATTTGTAGAGGCAAGATTCGTATATCTCTTGTCTTCTTGCAGAGCAGCAGAGTGATGCCTTTGCAAAGCTGTTTTTCTCCTCAGGATGCAGAAGCAGATCTTTCTCAGATTTTTTGGATGAAAATTTATCCACCACAGATCTTAAGCAACTCAGAAATTTCTGCTTTTAACAACTGTCATTCTTGTACATAGTGTTCTGCAAGAACTATTGGTACAATAAATGCTGTAAAAAAAAGTTTTGGTATTATACTCTGAGATATGACGTGGATTGACTTGAGTAAACTCTCATACTTTTAAACATTTTCCCCTATTTTCATACATCCCCGGAAAAAAAAAAAAAAAAAAGTTAAGTCTGTAAACTACTTCTTTTTTTTCTTCCCTTCTTACCAAATATCAATTAATGCAAAACCAGCACATTTATCTAGATCATAAGAGTTGCAAAACTGAGTCTGATGGCCACTTATATCTGATGGTTCTGCTCTCTTACACATATCCTCTGGCTAACTGCATATATTTCTGAATTCAGAGGTAGGATTAAAAAAGACAATCATCAGTATTAACTATGAGATCCTGCTAATAGTAGTCAAAATTAAATGCTGAAACAGAAAACAAAAAAAATTCACAAACAAATATTACACCTTAAGAAAGTTGGATTCATTAGAAGTTTGTATTTGTTTTCTTCTTCTAGAGTTAAAGAAATTCACAATTGTTCAAGTACACAATTTAAAAAACAGTGGCTTATGATTGACACATTTTCAGTCAATTTTCTAAATTGCTTAAACAAAATCAAACAATTCCTACAGTTACAGCAAATCAACAGTCATACGAAGATATCTAGAGTGCAATGTTATAACTTACGCTCTCAGCTTCACAAAATGGCAACATAATTTATTTAAGTGTCATCTGTGAAGCATGTTGCACTACGATGCAGACCAGTTTAAGGATTCTAGCCATATTCTGCTAAGAGGTTTAACAGGAGTTAAACCTCTTAGCAGAGGAGTTTCGATCTATGGCCTCTCCCAAACAGGGATGCAGATGGCAGTTTCCTCTTGCAAAGACAGCCTCATTTCCAAATCAGCCCAATCGACAGCAGCCTAATGAGGGGCAATGGGATCTATACCACACAATTTGTGTTATGTAAATGATCATGTGCTACTAGAACAACAGTGGAAAAAGTACGTTTGGCCAGAAGCAAAAAAATCAGCTCTTTTCCTTCCACTTCTGTGACTCATTGAAGAGACACACTCTTAACTAATTGCTCTGGTAGGCCAGCAGGCTGCCTGTGCTTAATGATACTACTAGGAATTCCACAAGCTTTCAGCTTCTAACACTAAGCACTTCCAACATGTGCTTTTTAAGAGTGAACCTCTGAATTCTTTTTCTTTTTAAAAGATGCTTTTTCTCTCACTTCTTCCCTGCTAGCTGCTGCATCAGGTATAATAATACACAAATATGCAACATGCACTTTAAATTGGACACCTGTCTGTCCCAGGAAAACTTAATACTTACAGAGCACCCCTGCTGACAAAATGGCATTCAGAACAACTCTGAGTTCACAAATAATAGAAAACTACCTCCCTGACATGACTGCTTCAGGCTTGCCACATCCATCCATCCACCTGCACTTTCTCAAAGCTCAATGGCTCTTCGTTTTACAGGTCTGAGTTGTGAACATGCACTGAAATTCCCTTTTCATACTTACAACAGAAAATGAAGAAACTAAACATCAGATAGGATCATATTTGTCCTTCTTCACACTTAATTTGATTCCTCTTTTAGGCTAGGGCAACACGCTTTTCAAATTTGGCAATCCATAAAAAAGAAACAAGCAGACAAGCATTCGAAAGATGGCTGGCTTTTGTCCTGGAGGCTACTTAAAAAAAAAAATCATGTAACATTTAAAGAAAAGATAACATTGCTGTAATTCAACTAGTTTTCTCCCTTATTTGTCTTATTTGTAGAAAATGTAATTATCAGCTTCCTACAAACAGCTGACATTTTGGTTAGATTGAAGCTGGACTGGGGACAACCAAAGATTTAAATCCAGAACCAGTAAGGGTGTTAATATGCTCAAACTGCAGCTTCCCAAACATCTGCTTAGCAGCCTAACTGTCCACATAAAGGGATTCACTGAGCCAGAGAGGAGCTGTGCATGAACCCTACAATACTGGCCTGGACAGCAGCTTGAACAGGGCAGGCTCAACATCAGATCACTCCCTACAGCTTTTCTTTCCCTCCAATGCCCATGAAGTCTCTGACACTTTTAGTCAAGTGAACTTTTAGTCAAACTGGAAATTCTACTGTTATGTTAGCAAATGCATCACTGCTCTACAGCCTCACTGTTACGGTATTGTTCAC